CAAAGAGAAGAGGCCGCCTGCATATACTGCCTGACCGCAGACTTTGCAAACAGCAAGGGCCAAAAGGGTGATAAAAACTTAAGGGCCAGGGCCTAAGCAGATTCCAATGAGGAAGCAAGCACTACCTGCCAATACGCGAGACGCAAAGCCAAAAACAGCTACACCGCATCCCGCAGGATCGGCACAAACAGCTTCAACAATGCAGACGATGCACGCGTCACTGAGACCAAAACACCAGATCCAGGAATGGCCCCAAGCGCTTCCACATCCTCCTCAAGCCAATCTGAAGACAGTTCCAGGAGGGAAAAGAACCGCAAGACCGAAGCCAGCAGGCCACGAGCGTGCAAGTCCTCACCTACCAGTGCAGCCGAAAGAGAGGAAACCTGCTGCACCCCGCCAACATTCCGCTGAAGGGCAGGGGCGAACAAACATGCATTTAGGTGCTGAAACTCGCCTCCGCAGGTAACCCTGGACCACCGTCAGCGCCTTGCACCACTCAAGAGTGCGGGTACGACAAAAAGTACTCCAAGTATCCAACGACAACACAGGGCAGTCCGCTAGCCAGGACAACTCCAGAACCTCATAATGAGCCCAGTGGGGAAACGAAGACCCAAATCGGAATGAAGATGGATTCATAAGAGAGGCATAATCCGGGCCGCACAGGAGGTAAACCACAATAGCTTCCCGTACCTAATGAGGTGGGATGCAGGAAGATGAAACCTCCAGAAGGACAGAACCGATGGAACCGAACTTGGGGAGGGACCAACATCAAAACCACCTCGTATGCGAAGGGGGGGGGGGGAAGGAAGAAAACCCACTCCTTGCAACAGTAAGCCCTGTTCGAAGGATAGAAACACCCAGGCGGGGTCTAACGAGGCCCAAGGCCCCTAAGTCAACCCCTCCCCAACCCCAGGAACCTCCACACCAGGAGCAGGGGTCGAGAGTATCCTCCAAAGCCCCGGCCTAACAAGAAAAAGCCGGGGCAGCCAGAAAGGCAGAAAGAAAGGGGCCCCACTGGTCAGACCCCGACGCCACGGCTGGAGTAACTGACTCGAATGCCTCCGTTGCCACCCCGGAAGGCGCATCCCCCAAGACTGCCAGAGTCTCAAAACCAGCTAAACCCCTGCCCCAACCCTGAAGCCCTCAGATGCTTTGTAGCTAGAAGTAGAGGGTGGTGGGGGGGGGGGGCCAAAATGCACCACAGCAGGGAAAGATCGAGGGGGTGCGGACTGAACCAAGGCCGAAGCGACCAACACCTCCCTCCCAACGTCCGGGTCTCTATATCCAAAATGGGGCAGCCTCGCGGCTTCTGAGTCAGCAAATAATCTAGCACGTTGCATCACCCTAAACCTAGCACACAACACCTGAGCTGCCTGCACCTGTATAGAGTCATCAGTGGACTGGGTGAACCGAGTCATTAACAAGCAACAAAACTTGCAGGGTCAAAGGTGTCACCGACCCAACAGACAGCATGACAGAGGCAAAAGAGATGAGAGTCACCTCTGAGACAAGGGACAGAGCGAGCTTCAAACTTGCACAAGGCAAGAGTGGATCGCCTTGTCACAAGGGATCGCACCCATCGGACCCCTTGCACTCCTGCAGGGTTTCCCAGGGCCCTTAGACTGGTATCTCTAAGGGAAGCCCAGGCAGGATACTGTGAAACGGCGCCCAAATCTACAAATCAAACTTCTAAAAGCTGAACCCCCAGGACATGTCCACTCACAGGGTACCTAGCACGGGATACCACCAAGAAACACAGAAATGTACATAACCCTAAATATAGATAGGGGGCAACCAAAGGCAGACCCCCCAACCAGGCAGGGAAAACAAAAGAAAAACCCTGCAAGAGGACACTGTGCCTAGGCGAAACAGAGTCAGCTGCTATGAGAGGTGATAACTAGCTGTGCAGTACCCTGCACCCCCTACCAGTGCAAACTACCCCCCTTCCCAAAGGCAAACAAGGGTGCAGAAAACACCCCAGCACACTAAGGGCAGTTGATCACCGAGCAGCAAACGACCAAGCAGAGGGAGATCCCAAGGTGACTTGTGGAAGGTGGCCCCAAGGGCAGTTCTTACAGGGCACCTAGGGAAGGTGACCCTAGGCGCATGCAGCCCGAGTACTTGTGAGATTATTCCTGGCTCGCGCACCACTAGAGAAGACTTGCACTACCCACCACAAGGCCCAGAGCAAAGGACAGAAATCAAGAGCCAGAGTCACATGACCTCTGCCATTCACATCAGCCAAAGAACTGCAGGGTGGATTGCCGACATGAGGATCTGGGGCTCCCACTTCCTCCTTCCTGAGATGGTTACACAGAAAAGCGGCGCAGGGACGTGGTAACGTCATGCTCGTTTGCTCATTTTTATTAGGAGAGTGGTGTCCACTCGGTTTAACTTTCAGTAGTAGTTTCAATCAGAATAGAGGTTTGTTTTGGGATGCTTAACTTTCTGGGTGCCTGACCCAGTCGATGGCAGACATAGAATGCTCTATAACCACATGTTCTATAGGCCATTGCTCCGCGTACCTCTCTGAGGGGGCCAGGCTCTGGCTCATGGTCCTCAGTAGGCATATAACTCCATTCACACTGACTGATGCTAAAGTCTAATATATCCATATCAGCCTGGATAGCTTCAGGGAGCCGCAGGGGCTCCCCCCCAAAAAAGAAACTTGACAAAGTTCAGAGTTTAGCAACTAGATTAGTACCAGAATTGAGAGGCCTCAGCTATGAACACAGGTTGAAGAAACTCGCCCCTCATAACTTTATATGAGAGAAGAAACAAGAGGGGCTATGATCACCACATACAAAATCCTTAGGGAAATAGACAAAGTGGACAAATTGAATTGTGGAGCTGTAAAGACATTCTCATGCCCTGTACGGGTGATCAGCAAGTGAAATGCATTGAAAGAAGTTTGTTTTGAAGCCACTACCAGCCATAACTTTAAGAAAACATATGATGAAAATGTTTGTCACAAGAGATAATTAACATACCAGGTAGAAATGGTTTGGAGGCAGGCCAAAGGTTACCTGATCAACCAGGCTGCGAGCAGCCGCGTCCAACAGCCTGGTTGATCAGTCCAGCAACCAGGAGGCCTGGTCAACGACCGGGCCACGGGGACGCTAAGCCCCGGAAGTACCTCAAGGTAACCTCAAGGTAAGATAGGCCATAAAGAGCTAGATCTGGCTCTCCCATACTCACTGATAATTACTGACAAGTACAAGAGTAATCTTTTAAGCTGAACACAACTCAAAGGAATCGAACACCACAACAAAAACTAAAATGTATGGGTTGAAAAATAATGAGAAAGCAACATACGCTAAAAAAACACGTTACTTAAAACCCCCTTGCAAACATATCCAGTTAGTCTTGCAGACATGCTGTATATCTATTTGCTCTTGCAGACGACGTACTGCATATCCATTTGCTCTTGCAGACGACGTACTGTATATCCATTTGCTCTTGCAGATGACGTACTGCATATCCATTTGCTCTTGCAGACGACGTACTGTATATCCATTTGCTCTTGCAGATGACGTACTGCATATCCATTTGCTCTTGCAGACGACGTACTGTATATCCATTTGCTCTTGCAGACGACGTACTGTATATCTATTTGCTCTTGCAGACGACGTACTGCATATCCATTTGCTCTTGCAGACGACGTACTGCATATCCATTTGCTCTTGCAGATGACGTACTGCATATCCATTTGCTCTTGCAGACGACGTACTGTATATCCATTTGCTCTTGCAGATGACGTACTGCATATCCATTTGCTCTTGCAGATGACGTACTGCATATCCATTTGCTCTTGCAGATGACCTACTGTATATCCATTTGCTCTTGCAGACGACGTACTGCATATCCATTTGCTCTTGCAGACGATGTATTGCATATCCATTTGCTCTTGCAGATGACGTACTGCATATCTATTTGCTCTTGCAGATGACCTACTGTATATCCATTTGCTCTTGCAGACGACGTACTGCATATCCATTTGCTCTTGCAGATGACGTACTGTATATCCATTTGCTCTTGCAGATGACGTACTGCATATCCATTTGCTCTTGCAGACGATGTATTGCATATCCATTTGCTCTTGCAGACGACGTACTGTATATCCATTTGCTCTTGCAGATGACCTACTGTATATCCATTTGCTCTTGCAGACGACGTACTGCATATCCATTTGCTCTTGCAGACGATGTATTGCATATCCATTTGCTCTTGCAGACGACGTACTGTATATCCATTTGCTCTTGCAGATGACGTACTGCATATCCATTTGCTCTTGCAGACGATGTATTGCATATCCATTTGCTCTTGCAGATGACGTACTGCATATCTATTTGCTCTTGCAGATGACCTACTGCATATCCATTTGCTCTTGCAGACGACGTACTGCATATCCATTTGCTCTTGCCGGACGACATACTGCATATCCATATGCTCTTGCAGATATCCTGCATATCCATATGCTCTTGCAGACATCTTGTATATCCATTTGTTCTTGCAGACATCCTGCATATCCATTTGCTCTTGCAGACATCCTGCATATCCATTTGCTCTTGCAGACATCCTGCATATCCATTTGCTCTTGCAGACATCCTGCATATCCATTTGCTCTTGCAGACATCCTGCATATCCATTTGCTCTTGCAGACATCCTGCATATCCATTTGCTCTTGCAGACATCCTGCATATCCATTTGCTCTTGCAGACATCCTGCATATCCATTTGCTAAATGGTGAAAACATTTAAAGTGACACCAAGAAAACATAACCTAACTGTACCATGCAGTGTAAGCACAGAAAGAAGACAAATAATTGAATTATGTATAATAACTTATTTTCTTAATTTTTTATTTATTTATATATTTGCTCAACAATAATATTTTTTATTTAAACCTTGGCACGTGTCTATCATGAAAGAGAAAGCCCCACAAAATGTATAATTATTAAGAAGCTATTTTGTTAATATCAGCATCACATATGATCCCACCTTGTAAAGAAACTGTTGATGTGAAGAGAGGGCAAACACGACAGTGTCTGGTGGAACAATGTCTACATGGCTGCAACAGATCTCAAGTGTAGCAGAAGAGTCCAACACCATGAGATCCACAACATGTTTAGCCACACACCCATACAGATTGTGGCGAGCGATGAGATGGAAGACATCCTTATGTTTTAGTCTGTAAATAAAAAGGTCATATAAGATAAAAAAGAAAGAAAACGGCTTTGAATATAATGAAACGCCATTTTCTGTGAGGAACCCCTACGGCTCCCTGGAGCTTATCGGGCTAATGTATGTTATATTAGACCGGGACATTAGCTATGGACCTCAGACCTACCAGGGACCAGAGCCAGAACCTGGCCCCCTTCAGAGAGGTTTCAGGGAGCAATGGCCCTGGAAAACCCCCCTTGTAGTTGGGGTTTTTCTTATCTGCCATCGACCGGGGTTAGGCACCCAGAAAAGTAGGCATAACAAAACAAACCCCACATGGTAAGAAACTAAAACAAAAAACCGAACAGAGAGGTAGAAACTCCCTACAATCCCAGGAAACAAGCAAGCATCGCACTTTACTGCCGCGCCGCTCGTCCGTGCAGCCCTCCCCTTCCCTAGAGGGGGGGGGGGGCCCGGACCTCACTGTGCTGGCTGCGTAGCATTCCAGTTCAGAAGCTAAGCTTCAACCAACGCAAAAAAAAATGCCGACTGGTGGGAGGGAGGGTGGCCAGGGAGCCTCCGGGGCTCACCCAGAAAATGACGTTTCATTACATTCAACGCTGGTTTAATGCGAGGAGCCCCTACGGCTCCCTGGAGCTACATACCTAAAGAGAGGAAAAAAGGCACTTACCCGGGAGGCAGCCGCCACAAACTCCTCAACGTGAAATCGAGACAACTGGCTGCATCCTGAGACCCAAAGCAACACAAGAACGCCCAAGAGCAGGCACGTTCACCAAATAATGGGCGGCCAGGACCCTGTTCGACCTCCAAAATCAACGCGCTCGAATAAGAGCCCAAGACATGTTACCAAACACGGCAGCCAAAGCTGCAAACTTCCAAACATTATGGGCACGAGGATAGACCGCAAGCTGGCTAGACTTAACCCTGCGGACAACCTCAGAGACCTGAGCACAGGAACAAGGAACGAGGGAAACTGGATCAACCCAAAGCGCATCCCCAGCCACCCCAGCAGAGGTGCACAGGTAATGGCGAAAAGCTGCAACCGGACACAACACATGATGCACCCCCGGCCGAACCAACCAAGCATCAATGACCCACAGACCCCTCCAGAAAGCAGCCGTCTCGTTCTTTGCCAGAAAAGATGGGGAAGGCTGCAAATGTACAAACCTACCTCCAGGACCAAAAGAGCAGAAACTGCTGTGCCGGAGGAGAGCATGAAGCTCCCCTACCCGGCCCCCAGAGGCCAATGCCAAGAAAAACAGGGTCTTGGAAAAAATATCTTGGACCAAAGGGACCACCACAAACTGAGGAGAGGAAAGATAAGAACACCCTGTTCAAGGACAAGGATGGCTCGGGTGATGCATGAGCAGGCGGGACGTGAAACATAACACGAGAAAGCTTACAGAACGGGATGGATGTGACGTCCACCACCGAATGCAAGGTGGAGTGGCTCCGCCAGTGCCACACAATACGAGGCGACAGTATTAGGCATCAAATGACGTTCTTGAAAAGCCAAGAAAGATAGGACAAGACAACCCAATCCGAAAGAGAAGACAACTTATGAAGAGCAAGAAAATGGGGAAAAGAACGCCAGGAAACTTCATACTGTCGCCAAGACGAAGCTTTCAGATGGGACACCATCAACGAAGCCACCTGATCATCATAGAAATGGTGCTACACCCGCGTCAAAAAGACCAGACGCGAAGAGCAGAGGAGAAGGTCGAACCAGCCCCGTACCGGACTGGTCCGACTTGCTGGAAAAAGCAGAGTTGCTTGAAATGTCCCGGGTTCGGACACCGAGCAAACAGCGCCGGAAACCAAGGCTGGGCTGGCCACTAAGTGGCCACAAAGACTACCTGAGCAATAGCTGGCCTGGAGAAAAGAGGTATAGGTAACCTGATCTCGACCAGTCCTGCCGAAAGGCATCCACTGCGAATGTCTCGCAGTCAGGGAAGGGCGTCACATAGACTGGGAGATGCTGAGACCACGCCGACGTGAAGAGGTCCACCTCCGGGAGTTCGTACGTCTGGCAGATCCAACGAAACGAGTTGTCGTCGACCGTCTATTCCATGGACAGGGAAATGAAGTGAGACAAGCTGTCCGCCAGGACGTTGGACATTCCCAATGTCCAATGTCCAACCGACCAATGGTTGGATGGTCAAACCCCGAGCAACCCGAACCCTCTGAAGCGCGAACCAGACTGCTGCAAACTCCTAAACCGTGCTGTGAGCAAGGAGGGGCAAGGAATCCAGGGGGTTCAGACGGGACAAGTCCAGAATGAACCTCAGATCTGCACAGTCCTGTTTCGGCACTGGAAACAGGCTGGAAACCCACCTGAGGGACAGGGTCGTTTCGACCACGCCCAAGCGCACCCACTCCAAGATGATTTGACAAAGCACAGGAGAAGAAACCTGCCCTGCCCGCCCTGAACCCTCTAAAGGAGGACGAGCTGCCCAACACCACCGCAGGCCGGATGACACGACTGAAAAGGCCCACAAATTGGGACCAAGCGTGGTCAAACAGAGTGAGCATCCCCCCCATCGCCCCATCAACGGGGCGAACCGCGAAAGAGCTGACGCCCCTTACAAGAAACCAAGCACCGAACAGAGTGATCACCCCGACCACACGATGCTGGCATTAAAGGGAACGTCAGCTCAGAAATTGGCACCAATGCCCTACCTCGACCAGCGGAACCCTGAACCCTGACACGACCCCTCCTAGACGGCCGAGAACGAACGCCCCGGAGAACCAACAAGTCTGACATAGGGCGACAACTAGATGAAGCCGCTTGCAGAAACTGTGAGACTGTGGCCTCTGCAAACAGCAACGGACAAAATGGAGACAAAAACCTAAGAGCCAGGGCCCAAGTGGATTCCAAAGAGAGGGCGATCACCACCTGACAGCACACGAGGCGAGAAGGAAAAAACCAGAATTGAATGTAATGAAACGCCATTTTCTGGGTGAGCCCCGGAGGCTCACTGGAGCTTATTGGGCTAATGTATATTATATTAGACTGGGACATTAGCTAAGGAGTTCAGACCTACCAGGAACCAGTGCCAGAACCTGGCCCCTTCAGAGAGGTTTCAGGGAGCAATGACACTGGAAAACCCTCTTGTGGTTGGGGTTTTCCTTATCTGGCATCGACCGGGGTCAGGCACCCAGAAAGGTAGGCATGACAAAACAAACCCCACATGGTAAAAAACTAAAACAAAAAACTGAACAGAGAGGTAGAAACTCCCTACAATCCCAAGGAAACAAGCAAACAAGCAAACATCAGACTTTACTGCCACGCTGATCGTCCACGCAGCCCTCCCCGCCCCGAGAGGGGGAGGGGGGAGCCCCGAACCTACCTCGCCGGCTGCCAAGCTCCAGTTCGGAAGCTAAGCTTCAACCAACGCAAAAAAAAACGCCGACCGGTGGGAGGGAGGGTTGCCAGGGAGCCTCCGGGGCTCACCCAGAAAATGGCGTTTCATTACATTCAACACTGGTTTTCTGTGGGGAGCCCCTACGGCTCCCTGGAGCTTCATACCCAATGAAAAGGAAAAGAAAGGGCTAACCCAGGAAGCGGCCGCCACAAACTTCGCAACGTGAAGCCAAGACAACAGGATGCAACCTGCGACCCAATGCAACAAGAATGCACAGGAGCAGACGCGCATAAAGAATGGGCAGCCAAGAACTTGTGCGACCCTCAATTCCCTGCGCCCGAAATGAGCCCTAGACGTCACAAACACAGCAACAAGAACTGCAAACGTCCGAACAGCACGGGCGCAAAGACAGACCACAGGCTGGAAGACTGAAAAAACTCTGCGGACGACCTGGCAGACCCGAGCCCTGAAACAGGGAACGACGGGAACCGGATCAAACCAAAGTGCATCCCCAGACACAGTACACAGGTAACGGCAAAAAGCGCAACCGGACAACACAGGATGCACCCCCAGCCAAACCAATCAAGCATCAATAACCCAAGAACCCCTCCGGAAACCAGCCATCTCGACCATCGCCAGGACGGAGAAAGGCTGCACACGTACAAACCTACCACCAGTACCAAAGAGCAGAAACCTGAACCAAAGGGGCAACCACAAACTGAGAAGATAAGAACGCACCCTGATCAAGGACCAGGACGGCTCAGGCGACACATGAGCAGGCCGGAGGTGAAACAAAACACGAGAAAGCGTACAAAACGGTCAGATGTGACGTCCACCCTGAACGCAATCTAGAGCGGCTCCGCCAGCACCGCACAAAACGAGGCAACAGTAAGAAACATCAAAACTGTTGTCCTGACAATCCAAGAAAGGAAAAGACAACCCGATGCGAAAGAGAAGACAACCTACGAAGAGAAAGAAAAAGTGCATAGAAACACCAGGAACGCCATCTGTCGCCAAGACAAAGCTCGCAGGTGGGACAACCATCAATAAAGCCACCTGATCACCACAGAGATAGTGATACCCGCGTCAAAATACCAGACGCGAAGAGCCGAGGAGAAGGCTGAACCAGTCACATACAGGACCGGTCCGACCTGCCGAAAGAGGCGGAGCTGCGGGAAAATGCCCCTGCTTCGGACACCTATCAAGCAGCGTCTGAAAACAAAGCTGGGCCGGCCACCAAGGGACCATAAGGACTACCCGCCAAACACACACCGAAACTACGACGTTGGTACAACGTTCGAACAAGTTTTAACACCTCCTAACCAGTTATAATAACCAATATAGCAAGTTGTAACAACGTTCTAATACGTCATAAACACGTTAAGCCAAGATGTAACAACTTTATTACAAGTGGTAACAAGCGGAAAATAGAGACAGTTATGGTTTGTGTTTCCAGGGTACTCTCGTAGAAATGGGCTCCAACCGAGCCAGAACCTGAAGCAACAGCTGAACCGGGAGAAGAGGAACAGGTACCCCCCACCTCGGCCAGTCCTGCCGAAAGACATCCACCGTGATCGCCTTGCAGGCGGGTAAGGGCGCCACATAGAATGGGCGACACCTAGACCACACCAACTCGAAGACG